CATCGTTACATCCACTTCTATTTATACCGAGAAACCCGAAAACACGAGGGAGCACACAAATGCTTGCATCCCTCTCACACACTACCCTCTCAACTTGTAGAGTAGAGCGCATAGCATTTAACATGAGTAACGAATATGTCTATCTCTTTCTACACTCACCACCAGTTTTCTATATAAGCGATGCGTAAGCGAGCATCTCGATTATTGTGTTTTTAACAGTGACAGTGTAAAGTAAGAATTGTGAAAGAGAGAAAAATGGCTCGTACAAAGCAGACCGCTCGCAAATCAACGGAGGCAAGGCTCCTCGCAAGCAGTTGGCCACTAAGGCAGCACGTAAAAGTGCACCAGCTACTGGCGGTGTCAGAAACCTCATCGCTATCGCCCTGGCACTGTTGTTGCTCTGCGTGAAATTCGTCGCTACCAGAAGAGCACTGAATTGCTTATTCGCAAGTTGCCGTTCCAGCGTCTAGTGCGTGAAATCGCTCAAGACTTCAAGACTGACCTTCGTTTCCAGAGCTCAGCTGTGATGGCACTCCAGGAAGCTAGCGAAGCCTATTTGGTTGGCCTATTCGAAGATACAAACTTGTGTGCCATCCATGCTAAGCGTGTCACAATCATGCCCAAGGACATTCAACTGGCCAGACGTATTCGCGGCGAGCGCGCTTAAATTTCTTCTCTCTGCCTTGTACATATACAAATCGCACCCAACAAATCGGTCCTTTTCAGGACCACAATATTTATAACAAGGAGATTCCTATTTTCGTTTAAACGACAATCATTTTGAATTTGAGTTGATATAAAAATAAAGGAAACGAGTATATAGGTTTATATTTACATAATAAAATGTAGGTTAGAGCAAATGTCACTAACTAGTCCTAGTCCTAGTCAAGTAATTGAGTAAGGATCTCAATATATTTTTGTTAAAGGGAAACGTTTCTTGCTTAACAAAAAAATGTGTATTTTTAAAGCGAATATCGAAATGTGAACGTATCGTTAATGTGTGTGATACGTTTGATGTAACTTAAGATAATATATTTCTTTTCTGAGATTTTCCTTTTATTTTTATAAGCACTTCCTATGGAAGATAAAACTATATTAGTTTTTAAACATTTTAGCATTCTTCTTAATAAAATAAAGTGGCTTAGATGAAAAAATATTTTATCACTGTATTTCTTGGTGAGGGAGAAGTGTATATCGCATTATATATATAATATTACGATATGAAATGACTATATGTTTGATGCAAGTAAAGAAAATAAACATTTTTCTTCTAATATTATCTTTATTAACATATATTTATTGTTAAGGAGAAGATTTTATTTTTACAAACCATTTTTGTATTGCGTTGCCTCGAATGCAAGTCTGCTTTCAACACCAAATGGGTTAGTTAAAATCGCATTTAAAAGATAAAGATATAAGGAATGTTCATATTAATAGTTGAATTTAACAAAAAAATTAATGAATTATTATCTGTCAACATAATTTGTTAACATTTTCATTATTATTTAATTAAAAATGCGATTTTTCCAAGATATCTTATTTTGCTATCATACAAAGTCAAACTTTAGATGGCAATTAAAAATCGTTAAAATCATATTTAACAAACTGAAAACTTATTTTTTCAATTTTTCAAACATTTTGGAATATGTTCAATAAACTATTTAGTTTAAATTCCATGTATAAACTGTTTAAAAAGACAAATCAATAAAATGGTAATTGTAAACTTCTGTGTAACGAACGTTCAATAGCAAAAACATTCTCGCGTAGCCTTCCTCCTCGATTCTCACTGAAACGGGTGACCAAAATGCCATGCCGCAGCTGGCAAATTTCGATTAAACAAAAACGTTGCATTTGTTTTTATAGTGAAGAAGTAAAGAAGTGCTGAATAAAAATGTCTGATTCCGTTGTTGCAGTATCTGCGTCTCCCGTGACTCCCCAAACAGCCTCAGCTGAGAAGAAGGTAGCTGCTAAAAAGCCAGCATCCGCATCGAAGGCAAAGAAAACAACGGCTCCTCCAACACACCCACCAACTCAGCAGATGGTGGACGCATCGATACAAAATTTAAAGGAACGTGGTGGCTCATCCCTTTTGGCTATAAAGAAATATATCAGTGCCACTTACAAGTGCGATGCCCAAAAACTAGCCCCATTCATTAAGAAGTACCTGAAGAATTCAGTTGCGAATGGAAAGTTGATTCAAACAAAGGGCAAGGGTGCATCTGGTTCGTTTAAGTTGTCTGCATCTTCCAAAAAGGAGCCTAAGCCTAAAGTGTCCTCTGTAGAGAAGAAATCCAAGAAGGTAACTTCGTCGGCAGCAGCAGCTAAAAAGAAAACTATATCTGCTACCAAGAAACCAAAGGGTGTCGCTGATAAGAAGTTGTCGAAGGCTGTGGTGACCAAAAAGAGTGTTGACAAGAAGAAAGCTGAAAAAGCGAAGGCCAAAGATGCAAAGAAAGTTGGTACTATTAAAGCCAAGCCCACAACAGCAAAGGCAAAGTCAAGCGCAGCAAAGCCAAAAACTCCCAAACCTAAGACCACCAGTGCTAAGCCTAAGAAGGTTGTCGCGGCTGCGTCGCCAAAAAAAGCTGCTGCCAAGAAGCCAAAGGCAAAAACTGCGTCTGCAACAAAGAAGTAATTTCACATCGAAATATACTCTTCAGAGAGAGTATGAACAAATTTCAAAACTATGAAATTTGCTATTAAACAAAGTCCTTTTCAGGACTACAATTTTATATATCCAAGAGAAAAAATATTTTTCTACCTGTATCTTTCTTGTTGCTGTTAAAAGTAATATAAAAAGAAACGGATCCTATTTAGTCAGCAGCAATATTTGAAATATATTCGATGTTAATTTCTGTTTTCGTCAAATAGTTTTTACGTGTCCAACTTTATCATAATAAAAACGTAGGAAATTGTAGTGGGATATTTGTGGAGTAACGATAATTTTATAGTTTTTCTTGAATAGCAAGCAAATATATTTGCTTCAGTAAGTTTTATACAATAAGAATTAAAGGTAATCTATTCAGAATCAGAATCAGAAATTTTGTTAGCATGGAAATATTTCATATTCTTTGAAAAAAGATTTGTGGCCCTGAAAAGGGCCTTTTGCTTTTGGGTGTTCTGCATACATCAAGCTAAGATTTACTTGGAGCTAGTGTACTTGGTAACTGCCTTTGTTCCTTCACTGACAGCGTGCTTGGCCAACTCTCCGGGCAACAGAAGACGGACTGCAGTTTGGATTTCCCGACTGGTAATCGTAGAACGTTTGTTGTAGTGGGCCAAACGAGAGGCTTCAGCAGCAATACGCTCAAAAATGTCGTTCACAAAGCTATTCATGATGCTCATGGCCTTTGACGAGATTCCAGTGTCAGGATGGACCTGCTTTAGCACTTTGTAAATGTAGATGGCGTAGCTTTCCTTCCTCTTACGCTTCTTCTTCTTATCATTCTTGGTAATATTCTTCTGGGCTTTGCCAGCCTTTTTGGCTGCCTTTCCACTTGTCTTAGGCGGCATGATTGTTATTATCCACTCAAGTTCACTTTAACTCACTTCACAAATGTTTGACAGAAGCACACAAATTGCTTAACATTTATAGGTTTTTTTTGTACAACGTTTTCATGTTTGCGAACAGCACAACTCACCCTCGTTTACCTGAAAAAGTAGGTAGTGAAAAAAGTATAAGTTGTCATATTGTTGAGAGGGCTGGGCATTCGATACTTGTTTGTGCAGTGTTAAAGTGAAAAAAAAAAGAATTTAAGAAATGTCTGGCCGTGGTAAAGGTGGAAAAGTTAAGGGAAAGGCAAAGTCGCGTTCGAACCGCGCTGGCCTTCAGTTCCCCGTTGGTCGTATTCACCGTCTTCTTCGCAAAGGCAACTATGCCGAGCGTGTTGGTGCCGGTGCTCCAGTGTACTTGGCGGCTGTTATGGAATACTTGGCCGCTGAAGTTTTGGAGTTGGCTGGTAATGCAGCCCGCGATAACAAGAAAACCAGAATTATCCCTCGCCATCTGCAATTGGCCATCCGCAACGATGAGGAGTTGAATAAACTGCTTTCAGGCGTCACTATTGCCCAGGGCGGTGTGTTGCCTAACATCCAAGCAGTTTTGTTGCCCAAGAAGACCGAAAAGAAGGCTTAAATTACTAATAACGAATTTACGCAAATCGAAACCAAACGTCCTTTTCAGGACGACCAATTTATACAAAAGAGATGACTTTTTTCATACGTAAACATTCTAAATAATATGTATATAATAAGAATAAATAAAGGGAAAATTTACAGATGGTAGACGCTGAGAAAAGTACAGTCATCGCCATTCATTTAGTCATTTAGTGTTTCTGTTCCATATTCCAAAGGTTTCAAATATGTTGAGCTGAAATATTGCTAATATTGCTGATATGTAAACTATAAATTTGGCAATGTACCCTTGAAATACACGCGAGTTTTCACCGCAGCTTAGCTAAGATTTCTGTAACATCGAATTCTTATTCGAATATGAAATATGCACAATACTTCTTTTTGATAGCTTCAAATTTTTCATAAATGTCGAAACCAAATGGTTTAACTAGACGGAATTAATTCAATTTCTCGATCATTTCGTAGCCAATACTGAACATCAGCTAAATATATGCCCAATACCGATTTGGTTTGCGAAAAATGTATATTGAATTTTATATTTTCAAGCTCTTTTAGGGAAACATGTTGGTGGTCCTGAAAAGGACCGATTGGTGCGAGTGTAAGTTGCTTTTTATACTTTCTTCTTTCCTAACCGCCAAAGCCGTACAGTGTGCGACCTTGCCTTTTCAGCGCATAGACAACATCCATGGCTGTGACTGTCTTCCTCTTGGCGTGTTCGGTGTATGTGACAGCATCACGAATAACATTTTCCAAAAAGACCTTAAGAACGCCACGAGTTTCTTCATAGATAAGTCCAGAGATTCGCTTCACGCCACCACGACGAGCTAAACGACGGATAGCTGGCTTCGTGATACCCTGGATATTATCACGCAACACTTTGCGATGACGCTTTGCACCTCCTTTACCCAAGCCTTTGCCACCTTTACCACGACCAGTCATTTTTCACTTTTTACTTTTTAATGAACACTTCACGAATGTCAGAAACAAACTAATGTCTGCATCGTTACATCCACTTCTATTTATACCGAGAAACCCGAAAACACGAGGGAGCACACAAATGCTTGCATCCCTCTCACACACTACCCTCTCAACTTGTAGAGTAGAGCGCATAGCATTTAACATGAGTAACGAATATGTCTATCTCTTTCTAACTCACCACCAGTTTTCTATATAAGCGATGCGTAAGCGAGCATCTCGATTATTGTGTTTTTAACAGTGACAGTGTAAAGTAAGAATTGTGAAAGAGAGAAAAAAATGGCTCGTACAAAGCAGACCGCTCGCAAATCAACTGGAGGCAAGGCTCCTCGCAAGCAGTTGGCCACTAAGGCAGCACGTAAAAGTGCACCAGCTACTGGCGGTGTCAAGAAACCTCATCGCTATCGCCCTGGCACTGTTGCTCTGCGTGAAATTCGTCGCTACCAGAAGAGCACTGAATTGCTTATTCGCAAGTTGCCGTTCCAGCGTCTAGTGCGTGAAATCGCTCAAGACTTCAAGACTGACCTTCGTTTCCAGAGCTCAGCTGTGATGGCACTCCAGGAAGCTAGCGAAGCCTATTTGGTTGGCCTATTCGAAGATACAAACTTGTGTGCCATCCATGCTAAGCGTGTCACAATCATGCCCAAGGACATTCAACTGGCCAGACGTATTCGCGGCGAGCGCGCTTAAATTTCTTCTCTCTGCCTTGTACATATACAAATCGCACCCAACAAATCGGTCCTTTTCAGGACCACAATATTTATAACAAGGAGATTCCTATTTTCGTTTAAACGACAATCATTTTGAATTTGAGTTGATATAAAAATAAAGGAAACGAGTATATAGGTTTATATTTACATAATAAAATGTAGGTTAGAGCAAATGTCACTAACTAGTCCTAGTCCTAGTCAAGTAATTGAGTAAGGATCTCAATATATTTTTGTTAAAGGGAAACGTTTCTTGCTTAACAAAAAAATGTGTATTTTTAAAGCGAATATCGAATGTGAACGTATCGTTAATGTGTGATACGTTTGATGTAACTTAAGATAATATATTTCTTTTCTGAGATTTTCCTTTTATTTTTATAAGCACTTCCTATTGAAGATAAAACTATATTAGTTTTTAAACATTTTAGCATTCTTCTTAATAAAATAAAGTGGCTTAGATGAAAAAATATTTTATCACTGTATTTCTTGGTGAGGGAGAAGTGTATATCGCATTATATATATAATATTACGATATGAAATGACTATATGTTTGATGCAAGTAAAGAAAATAAAACATTTTTCTTCTAATATTATCTTTATTAACATATATTTATTGTTAAGGAGAAGATTTTATTTTTACAAACCATTTTTGTATTGCGTTGCCTCGAATGCAAGTCTGCTTTCAACACCAAATGGGTTAGTTAAAATCGCATTTAAAAGATAAAGATATAAGGAATGTTCATATTAATAGTTGAATTTAACAAAAAAATTAATGAATTATTATCTGTCAACATAATTTGTTAACATTTTCATTATTATTTAATTAAAAATGCGATTTTTCCAAGATATCTTATTTTGCTATCATACAAAGTCAAACTTTAGATGGCAATTAAAAATCGTTAAATCATATTTAACAAACTGAAAACTTATTTTTTCAATTTTTCAAACATTTTGGAATATGTTCAATAAACTATTTAGTTTAAATTCCATGTATAAACTGTTTAAAAAGACAAATCAATAAAATGGTAATTGTAAACTTCTGTGTAACGAACGTTCAATAGCAAAAACATTCTCGCGTAGCCTTCCTCCTCGATTCTCACTGAAACGGGTGACCAAAATGCCATGCCGCAGCTGGCAAATTTCGATTAAACAAAAACGTTGCATTTGTTTTTATAGTGAAGAAGTAAAGAAGTGCTGAATAAAAATGTCTGATTCCGTTGTTGCAGTATCTGCGTCTCCCGTGACTCCCCAAACAGCCTCAGCTGAGAAGAAGGTAGCTGCTAAAAAGCCAGCATCCGCATCGAAGGCAAAGAAAACAACGGCTCCTCCAACACACCCACCAACTCAGCAGATGGTGGACGCATCGATACAAAATTTAAAGGAACGTGGTGGCTCATCCCTTTTGGCTATAAAGAAATATATCAGTGCCACTTACAAGTGCGATGCCCAAAAACTAGCCCCATTCATTAAGAAGTACCTGAAGAATTCAGTTGCGAATGGAAAGTTGATTCAAACAAAGGGCAAGGGTGCATCTGGTTCGTTTAAGTTGTCTGCATCTTCCAAAAAGGAGCCTAAGCCTAAAGTGTCCTCTGTAGAGAAGAAATCCAAGAAGGTAACTTCGTCGGCAGCAGCAGCTAAAAAGAAAACTATATCTGCTACCAAGAAACCAAAGGGTGTCGCTGATAAGAAGTTGTCGAAGGCTGTGGTGACCAAAAAGAGTGTTGACAAGAAGAAAGCTGAAAAAGCGAAGGCCAAAGATGCAAAGAAAGTTGGTACTATTAAAGCCAAGCCCACAACAGCAAAGGCAAAGTCAAGCGCAGCAAAGCCAAAAACTCCCAAACCTAAGACCACCAGTGCTAAGCCTAAGAAGGTTGTCGCGGCTGCGTCGCCAAAAAAAGCTGCTGCCAAGAAGCCAAAGGCAAAAACTGCGTCTGCAACAAAGAAGTAATTTCACATCGAAATATACTCTTCAGACAGAGTATGAACAAATTTCAAAACTATGAAATTTGCTATTAAACAAAGTCCTTTTCAGGACTACAATTTTATATATCCAAGAGAAAAAAATATTTTTCTACCTGTATCTTTCTTGTTGCTGTTAAAAGTAATATAAAAAGAAACGGATCCTATTTAGTCAGCAGCAATATTTGAAATATATTCGATGTTAATTTCTGTTTTCGTCAAATAGTTTTTACGTGTCCAACTTCATCATAATAAAAACGTAGGAAATTGTAGTGGGATATTTGTGGAGTAACGATAATTTTATAGTTTTTCTTGAATAGCAAGCAAATATATTTGCTTCAGTAAGTTTTATACAATAAGAATTAAAGGTAATCTATTCAGAATCAGAATCAGAAATTTTGTTAGCATGGAAATATTTCATATTCTTTGAAAAAAGATTTGTGGCCCTGAAAAGGGCCTTTTGCTTTTGGGTGTTCTGCATACATCAAGCTAAGATTTACTTGGAGCTAGTGTACTTGGTAACTGCCTTTGTTCCTTCACTGACAGCGTGCTTGGCCAACTCTCCGGGCAACAGAAGACGGACTGCAGTTTGGATTTCCCGACTGGTAATCGTAGAACGTTTGTTGTAGTGGGCCAAACGAGAGGCTTCAGCAGCAATACGCTCAAAAATGTCGTTCACAAAGCTATTCATGATGCTCATGGCCTTTGACGAGATTCCAGTGTCAGGATGGACCTGCTTTAGCACTTTGTAAATGTAGATGGCGTAGCTTTCCTTCCTCTTACGCTTCTTCTTCTTATCATTCTTGGTAATATTCTTCTGGGCTTTGCCAGCCTTTTTGGCTGCCTTTCCACTTGTCTTAGGCGGCATGATTGTTATTATTCACTCAAGTTCACTTTAACTCACTTCACAAATGTTTGACAGAAGCACACAAATTGCTTAACATTTATAGGTTTTTTTTGTACAACGTTTTCATGTTTGCGAACAGCACAACTCACCCTCGTTTACCTGAAAAAGTAGGTAGTGAAAAAAGTATAAGTTGTCATATTGTTGAGAGGGCTGGGCATTCGATACTTGTTTGTGCAGTGTTAAAGTGAAAAAAAAAGAATTTAAGAAATGTCTGGCCGTGGTAAAGGTGGAAAAGTTAAGGGAAAGGCAAAGTCGCGTTCGAACCGCGCTGGCCTTCAGTTCCCCGTTGGTCGTATTCACCGTCTTCTTCGCAAAGGCAACTATGCCGAGCGTGTTGGTGCCGGTGCTCCAGTGTACTTGGCGGCTGTTATGGAATACTTGGCCGCTGAAGTTTTGGAGTTGGCTGGTAATGCAGCCCGCGATAACAAGAAAACCAGAATTATCCCTCGCCATCTGCAATTGGCCATCCGCAACGATGAGGAGTTGAATAAACTGCTTTCAGGCGTCACTATTGCCCAGGGCGGTGTGTTGCCTAACATCCAAGCAGTTTTGTTGCCCAAGAAGACCGAAAAGAAGGCTTAAATTACTAATAACGAATTTACGCAAATCGAAACCAAACGTCCTTTTCAGGACGACCAATTTATACAAAAGAGATGACTTTTTTCATACGTAAACATTCTAAATAATATGTATATAATAAGAATAAATAAAGGGAAAATTTACAGATGGTAGACGCTGAGAAAAGTACAGTCATCGCCATTCATTTAGTCATTTAGTGTTTCTGTTCCATATTCCAAAGGTTTCAAATATGTTGAACTGAAATATTGCTAATATTGCTGATATGTAAACTATAAATTTGGCAATGTACCCTTGAAATACACGCGAGTTTTCACCGCAGCTTAGCTAAGATTTCTGTAACATCGAATTCTTATTCGAATATGAAATATGCACAATACTTCTTTTTGATAGCTTCAAATTTTTCATAAATGTCGAAACCAAATGGTTTAACTAGACGGAATTAATTCAATTTCTCGATCATTTCGTAGCCAATACTGAACATCAGCTAAATATATGCCCAATACCGATTTGGTTTGCGAAAAATGTATATTGAATTTTATATTTTCAAGCTCTTTTAGGGAAACATGTTGGTGGTCCTGAAAAGGACCGATTGGTGCGAGTGTAAGTTGCTTTTTATACTTTCTTCTTTCCTAACCGCCAAAGCCGTACAGTGTGCGACCTTGCCTTTTCAGCGCATAGACAACATCCATGGCTGTGACTGTCTTCCTCTTGGCGTGTTCGGTGTATGTGACAGCATCACGAATAACATTTTCCAAAAAGACCTTAAGAACGCCACGAGTTTCTTCATAGATAAGTCCAGAGATTCGCTTCACGCCACCACGACGAGCTAAACGACGGATAGCTGGCTTCGTGATACCCTGGATATTATCACGCAACACTTTGCGATGACGCTTTGCACCTCCTTTACCCAAGCCTTTGCCACCTTTACCACGACCAGTCATTTTTCACTTTTTACTTTTTAATGAACACTTCACGAATGTCAGAAACAAACTAATGTCTGCATCGTTACATCCACTTCTATTTATACCGAGAAACCCGAAAACACGAGGGAGCACACAAATGCTTGCATCCCTCTCACACACTACCCTCTCAACTTGTAGAGTAGAGCGCATAGCATTTAACATGAGTAACGAATATGTCTATCTCTTTCTAACTCACCACCAGTTTTCTATATAAGCGATGCGTAAGCGAGCATCTCGATTATTGTGTTTTTAACAGTGACAGTGTAAAGTAAGAATTGTGAAAGAGAGAAAAAAATGGCTCGTACAAAGCAGACCGCTCGCAAATCAACTGGAGGCAAGGCTCCTCGCAAGCAGTTGGCCACTAAGGCAGCACGTAAAAGTGCACCAGCTACTGGCGGTGTCAAGAAACCTCATCGCTATCGCCCTGGCACTGTTGCTCTGCGTGAAATTCGTCGCTACCAGAAGAGCACTGAATTGCTTATTCGCAAGTTGCCGTTCCAGCGTCTAGTGCGTGAAATCGCTCAAGACTTCAAGACTGACCTTCGTTTCCAGAGCTCAGCTGTGATGGCACTCCAGGAAGCTAGCGAAGCCTATTTGGTTGGCCTATTCGAAGATACAAACTTGTGTGCCATCCATGCTAAGCGTGTCACAATCATGCCCAAGGACATTCAACTGGCCAGACGTATTCGCGGCGAGCGCGCTTAAATTTCTTCTCTCTGCCTTGTACATATACAAATCGCACCCAACAAATCGGTCCTTTTCAGGACCACAATATTTATAACAAGGAGATTCCTATTTTCGTTTAAACGACAATCATTTTGAATTTGAGTTGATATAAAAATAAAGGAAACGAGTATATAGGTTTATATTTACATAATAAAATGTAGGTTAGAGCAAATGTCACTAACTAGTCCTAGTCCTAGTCAAGTAATTGAGTAAGGATCTCAATATATTTTTGTTAAAGGGAAACGTTTCTTGCTTAACAAAAAAATGTGTATTTTTAAAGCGAATATCGAATGTGAACGTATCGTTAATGTGTGATACGTTTGATGTAACTTAAGATAATATATTTCTTTTCTGAGATTTTCCTTTTATTTTTATAAGCACTTCCTATTGAAGATCAAACTATATTAGTTTTTAAACATTTTAGCATTCTTCTTAATAAAATAAAGTGGCTTAGATGAAAAAATATTTTATCACTGTATTTCTTGGTGAGGGAGAAGTGTATATCGCATTATATATATAATATTACGATATGAAATGACTATATGTTTGATGCAAGTAAAGAAAATAAAACATTTTTCTTCTAATATTATCTTTATTAACATATATTTATTGTTAAGGAGAAGATTTTATTTTTACAAACCATTTTTGTATTGCGTTGCCTCGAATGCAAGTCTGCTTTCAACACCAAATGGGTTAGTTAAAATCGCATTTAAAAGATAAAGATATAAGGAATGTTCATATTAATAGTTGAATTTAACAAAAAAATTAATGAATTATTATCTGTCAACATAATTTGTTAACATTTTCATTATTATTTAATTAAAAATGCGATTTTTCCAAGATATCTTATTTTGCTATCATACAAAGTCAAACTTTAGATGGCAATTAAAAATCGTTAAATCATATTTAACAAACTGAAAACTTATTTTTTCAATTTTTCAAACATTTTGGAATATGTTCAATAAACTATTTAGTTTAAATTCCATGTATAAACTGTTTAAAAAGACAAATCAATAAAATGGTAATTGTAAACTTCTGTGTAACGAACGTTCAATACCAAAAACATTCTCGCGTAGCCTTCCTCCTCGATTCTCACTGAAACGGGTGACCAAAATGCCATGCCGCAGCTGGCAAATTTCGATTAAACAAAAACGTTGCATTTGTTTTTATAGTGAAGAAGTAAAGAAGTGCTGAATAAAAATGTCTGATTCCGTTGTTGCAGTATCTGCGTCTCCCGTGACTCCCCAAACAGCCTCAGCTGAGAAGAAGGTAGCTGCTAAAAAGCCAGCATCCGCATCGAAGGCAAAGAAAACAACGGCTCCTCCAACACACCCACCAACTCAGCAGATGGTGGACGCATCGATACAAAATTTAAAGGAACGTGGTGGCTCATCCCTTTTGGCTATAAAGAAATATATCAGTGCCACTTACAAGTGCGATGCCCAAAAACTAGCCCCATTCATTAAGAAGTACCTGAAGAATTCAGTTGCGAATGGAAAGTTGATTCAAACAAAGGGCAAGGGTGCATCTGGTTCGTTTAAGTTGTCTGCATCTTCCAAAAAGGAGCCTAAGCCTAAGGTGTCCTCTGTAGAGAAGAAATCCAAGAAGGTAACTTCGTCGGCAGCAGCAGCTAAAAAGAAAACTATATCTGCTACCAAGAAACCAAAGGGTGTCGCTGATAAGAAGTTGTCGAAGGCTGTGGTGACCAAAAAGAGTGTTGACAAGAAGAAAGCTGAAAAAGCGAAGGCCAAAGATGCAAAGAAAGTTGGTACTATTAAAGCCAAGCCCACAACAGCAAAGGCAAAGTCAAGCGCAGCAAAGCCAAAAACTCCCAAACCTAAGACCACCAGTGCTAAGCCTAAGAAGGTTGTCGCGGCTGCGTCGCCAAAAAAAGCTGCTGCCAAGAAGCCAAAGGCAAAAACTGCGTCTGCAACAAAGAAGTAATTTCACATCGAAATATACTCTTCAGAGAGAGTATGAACAAATTTCAAAACTATGAAATTTGCTATTAAACAAAGTCCTTTTCAGGACTACAATTTTATATATCCAAGAGAAAAAATATTTTTCTACCTGTATCTTTCTTGTTGCTGTTAAAAGTAATATAAAAAGAAACGGATCCTATTTAGTCAGCAGCAATATTTGAAATATATTCGATGTTAATTTCTGTTTTCGTCAAATAGTTTTTACGTGTCCAACTTCATCATAATAAAAACGTAGGAAATTGTAGTGGGATATTTGTGGAGTAACGATAATTTTATAGTTTTTCTTGAATAGCAAGCAAATATATTTGCTTCAGTAAGTTTTATACAATAAGAATTAAAGGTAATCTATTCAGAATCAGAATCAGAAATTTTGTTAGCATGGAAATATTTCATATTCTTTGAAAAAAGATTTGTGGCCCTGAAAAGGGCCTTTTGCTTTTGGGTGTTCTGCATACATCAAGCTAAGATTTACTTGGAGCTAGTGTACTTGGTAACTGCCTTTGTTCCTTCACTGACAGCGTGCTTGGCCAACTCTCCGGGCAACAGAAGACGGACTGCAGTTTGGATTTCCCGACTGGTAATCGTAGAACGTTTGTTGTAGTGGGCCAAACGAGAGGCTTCAGCAGCAATACGCTCAAAAATGTCGTTCACAAAGCTATTCATGATGCTCATGGCCTTTGACGAGATTCCAGTGTCAGGATGGACCTGCTTTAGCACTTTGTAAATGTAGATGGCGTAGCTTTCCTTCCTCTTACGCTTCTTCTTCTTATCATTCTTGGTAATATTCTTCTGGGCTTTGCCAGCCTTTTTAGCTGCCTTTCCACTTGTCTTAGGCGGCATGATTGTTATTATTCACTCAAGTTCACTTTAACTCACTTCACAAATGTTTGACAGAAGCACACAAATTGCTTAACATTTATAGGTTTTTTTTGTACAACGTTTTCATGTTTGCGAACAGCACAACTCACCCTCGTTTACCTGAAAAAGTAGGTAGTGAAAAAAGTATAAGTTGTCATATTGTTGAGAGGGCTGGGCATTCGATACTTGTTTGTGCAGTGTTAAAGTGAAAAAAAAAGAATTTAAGAAATGTCTGGCCGTGGTAAAGGTGGAAAAGTTAAGGGAAAGGCAAAGTCGCGTTCGAACCGCGCTGGCCTTCAGTTCCCCGTTGGTCGTATTCACCGTCTTCTTCGCAAAGGCAACTATGCCGAGCGTGTTGGTGCCGGTGCTCCAGTGTACTTGGCGGCTGTTATGGAATACTTGGCCGCTGAAGTTTTGGAGTTGGCTGGTAATGCAGCCCGCGATAACAAGAAAACCAGAATTATCCCTCGCCATCTGCAATTGGCCATCCGCAACGATGAGGAGTTGAATAAACTGCTTTCAGGCGTCACTATTGCCCAGGGCGGTGTGTTGCCTAACATCCAAGCAGTTTTGTTGCCCAAGAAGACCGAAAAGAAGGCTTAAATTACTAATAACGAATTTACGCAAATCGAAACCAAACGTCCTTTTCAGGACGACCAATTTATACAAAAGAGATGACTTTTTTCCTACGTAAACATTCTAAATAATATGTATATAATAAGAATAAATAAAGGGAAAATTTACAGATGGTAGACGCTGAGAAAAGTACAGTCATCGCCATTCATTTAGTCATTTAGTGTTTCTGTTCCATATTCCAAAGGTTTCAAATATGTTGAGCTGAAATATTGCTAATATTGCTGATATGTAAACTATAAATTTGGCAATGTACCCTTGAAATACACGCGAGTTTTCACCGCAGCTTAGCTAAGATTTCTGTAACATCGAATTCTTATTCGAATATGAAATATGCACAATACTTCTTTTTGATAGCTTCAAATTTTTCATAAATGTCGAAACCAAATGGTTTAACTAGACGGAATTAATTCAATTTCTCGATCATTTCGTAGCCAATACTGAACATCAGCTAAATATATGCCCAATACCGATTTGGTTTGCGAAAAATGTATATTGAATTTTATATTTTCAAGCTCTTTTAGGGAAACATGTTGGTGGTCCTGAAAAGGACCGATTGGTGCGAGTGTAAGTTGCTTTTTATACTTTCTTCTTTCCTAACCGCCAAAGCCGTACAGTGTGCGACCTTGCCTTTTCAGCGCATAGACAACATCCATGGCTGTGACTGTCTTCCTCTTGGCGTGTTCGGTGTATGTGACAGCATCACGAATAACATTTTCCAAAAAGACCTTAAGAACGCCACGAGTTTCTTCATAGATAAGTCCAGAGATTCGCTTCACGCCACCACGACGAGCTAAACGACGGATAGCTGGCTTCGTGATACCCTGGATATTATCACGCAACACTTTGCGATGACGCTTTGCACCTCCTTTACCCAAGCCTTTGCCACCTTTACCACGACCAGTCATTTTTCACTTTTTACTTTTTAATGAACACTTCACGAATGTCAGAAACAAACTAATGTCTGCATCGTTACATCCACTTCTATTTATACCGAGAAACCCGAAAACACGAGGGAGCACACAAATGCTTGCATCCCTCTCACACACTACCCTCTCAACTTGTAGAGTAGAGCGCATAGCATTTAACATGAGTAACGAATATGTCTATCTCTTTCTAACTCACCACCAGTTTTCTATATAAGCGATGCGTAAGCGAGCATCTCGATTATTGTGTTTTTAACAGTGACAGTGTAAAGTAAGAATTGTGAAAGAGAGAAAAAAATGGCTCGTACAAAGCAGACCGCTCGCAAATCAACTGGAGGCAAGGCTCCTCGCAAGCAGTTGGCCACTAAGGCAGCACGTAAAAGTGCACCAGCTACTGGCGGTGTCAAGAAACCTCATCGCTATCGCCCTGGCACTGTTGCTCTGCGTGAAATTCGTCGCTACCAGAAGAGCACTGAATTGCTTATTCGCAAGTTGCCGTTCCAGCGTCTAGTGCGTGAAATCGCTCAAGACTTCAAGACTGACCTTCGTTTCCAGAGCTCAGCTGTGATGGCACTCCAGGAAGCTAGCGAAGCCTATTTGGTTGGCCTATTCGAAGATACAAACTTGTGTGCCATCCATGCTAAGCGTGTCACAATCATGCCCAAGGACATTCAACTGGCCAGACGTATTCGCGGCGAGCGCGCTTAAATTTCTTCTCTCTGCCTTGTACATATACAAATCGCACCCAACAAATCGGTCCTTTTCAGGACCACAATATTTATAACAAGGAGATTCCTATTTTCGTTTAAACGACAATCATTTTGAATTTGAGTTGATATAAAAATAAAGGAAACGAGTATATAGGTTTATATTTACATAATAAAATGTAGGTTAGAGCAAATGTCACTAACTAGTCCTAGTCCTAGTCAAGTAATTGAGTAAGGATCTCAATATATTTTTGTTAAAGGGAAACGTTTCTTGCTTAACAAAAAAATGTGTATTTTTAAAGCGAATATCGAATGTGAACGTATCGTTAATGTGTGATACGTTTGATGTAACTTAAGATAATATATTTCTTTTCTGAGATTTTCCTTTTATTTTTATAAGCACTTCCTATTGAAGATAAAACTATATTAGTTTTTAAACATTTTAGCATTCTTCTTAATAAAATAAAGTGGCTTAGATGAAAAAATATTTTATCACTGTATTTCTTGGTGAGGGAGAAGTGTATATCGCATTATATATATAATATTACGATATGAAATGACTATATGTTTGATGCAAGTAAAGAAAATAAAACATTTTTCTTCTAATATTATCTTTATTAACATATATTTATTGTTAAGGAGAAGATTTTATTTTTACAAACCATTTTTGTATTGCGTTGCCTCGAATGCAAGTCTGCTTTCAACACCAAATGGGTTAGTTAAAATCGCATTTAAAAGATAAAGATATAAGGAATGTTCATATTAATAGTTGAATTTAACAAAAAAATTAATGAATTATTATCTGTCAACATAATTTGTTAACATTTTCATTATTATTTAATTAAAAATGCGATTTTTCCAAGATATCTTATTTTGCTATCATACAAAGTCAAACTTTAGATGGCAATTAAAAATCGTTAAATCATATTTAACAAACTGAAAACTTATTTTTTCAATTTTTCAAACATTTTGGAATATGTTCAATAAACTATTTAGTTTAAATTCCATGTATAAACTGTTTAAAAAGACAAATCAATAAAATGGTAATTGTAAACTTCTGTGTAACGAACGTTCAATACCAAAAACATTCTCGCGTAGCCTTCCTCCTCGATTCTCACTGAAACGGGTGACCAAAATGCCATGCCGCAGCTGGCAAATTTCGATTAAACAAAAACGTTGCATTTGTTTTTATAGTGAAGAAGTAAAGAAGTGCTGAATAAAAATGTCTGATTCCGTTGTTGCAGTATCTGCGTCTCCCGTGACTCCCCAAACAGCCTCAGCTGAGAAGAAGGTAGCTGCTAAAAAGCCAGCATCCGCATCGAAGGCAAAGAAAACAACGGCTCCTCCAACACACCCACCAACTCAGCAGATGGTGGACGCATCGATACAAAATTTAAAGGAACGTGGTGGCTCATCCCTTTTGGCTATAAAGAAATATATCAGTGCCACTTACAAGTGCGATGCCCAAAAACTAGCCCCATTCATTAAGAAGTACCTGAAGAATTCAGTTGCGAATGGAAAGTTGATTCAAACAAAGGGCAAGGGTGCATCTGGTTCGTTTAAGTTGTCTGCATCTTCCAAAAAGGAGCCTAAGCCTAAGGTGTCCTCTGTAGAGAAGAAATCCAAGAAGGTAACTTCGTCGGCAGCAGCAGCTAAAAAGAAAACTATATCTGCTACCAAGAAACCAAAGGGTGTCGCTGATAAGAAGTTGTCGAAGGCTGTGGTGACCAAAAAGAGTGTTGACAAGAAGAAAGCTGAAAAAGCGAAGGCCAAAGATGCAAAGAAAGTTGGTACTATTAAAGCCAAGCCAACCACCAGTGCTAAGCCTAAGAAGGTTGTCGCGGCTGCGTCGCCAAAAAAAGCTGCTGCCAAGAAGCCAAAGGCAAAAACTGCGTCTGCAACAAAGAAGTAATTTCACATCGAAATATACTCTTCAGAGAGAGTATGAACAAATTTCAAAACTATGAAATTTGCTATTAAACAAAGTCCTTTTCAGGACTACAATTTTATATATCCAAGAGAAAAAATATTTTTCTACCTGTATCTTTCTTGTTGCTGTTAAAAGTAATATAAAAAGAAACGGATCCTATTTAGTCAGCAGCAATATTTGAAATATATTCGATGTTAATTTCTGTTTTCGTCAAATAGTTTTTACGTGTCCAACTTCATCATAATAAAAACGTAGGAAATTGTAGTGGGATATTTGTGGAGTAACGATAATTTTATAGTTTTTCTTGAATAGCAAGCAAATATATTTGCTTCAGTAAGTTTTATACAATAAGAATTAAAGGTAATCTATTCAGAATCAGAATCAGAAATTTTGTTAGCATGGAAATATTTCATATTCTTTGAAAAAAGATTTGTGGCCCTGAAAAGGGCCTTTTGCTTTTGGGTGTTCTGCATACATCAAGCTAAGATTTACTTGGAGCTAGTGTACTTGGTAACTGCCTTTGTTCCTTCACTGACAGCGTGCTTGGCCAACTCTCCGGGCAACAGAAGACGGACTGCAGTTTGGATTTCCCGACTGGTAATCGTAGAACGTTTGTTGTAGTGGGCCAAACGAGAGGCTTCAGCAGCAATACGCTCAAAAATGTCGTTCACAAAGCTATTCATGATGCTCATGGCCTTTGACGAGATTCCAGTGTCAGGATGGACCTGCTTTAGCACTTTGTAAATGTAGATGGCGTAGCTTTCCTTCCTCTTACGCTTCTTCTTCTTATCATTCTTGGTAATATTCTTCTGGGCTTTGCCAGCCTTTTTAGCTGCCTTTCCACTTGTCTTAGGCGGCATGATTGTTATTATTCACTCAAGTTCACTTTAACTCACTTCACAAATGTTTGACAGAAGCACACAAATTGCTTAACATTTATAGGTTTTTTTTGTACAACGTTTTCATGTTTGCGAACAGCACAACTCACCCTCGTTTACCTGAAAAAGTAGGTAGTGAAAAAAGTATAAGTTGTCATATTGTTGAGAGGGCTGGGCATTCGATACTTGTTTGTGCAGTGTTAAAGTGAAAAAAAAAGAATTTAAGAAATGTCTGGCCGTGGTAAAGGTGGAAAAGTTAAGGGAAAGGCAAAGTCGCGTTCGAACCGCGCTGGCCTTCAGTTCCCCGTTGGTCGTATTCACCGTCTTCTTCGCAAAGGCAACTATGCCGAGCGTGTTGGTGCCGGTGCTCCAGTGTACTTGGCGGCTGTTATGGAATACTTGGCCGCTGAAGTTTTGGAGTTGGCTGGTAATGCAGCCCGCGATAACAAGAAAACCAGAATTATCCCTCGCCATCTGCAATTGGCCATCCGCAACGATGAGGAGTTGAATAAACTGCTTTCAGGCGTCACTATTGCCCAGGGCGGTGTGTTGCCTAACATCCAAGCAGTTTTGTTGCCCAAGAAGACCGAAAAGAAGGCTTAAATTACTAATAACGAATTTACGCAAATCGAAACCAAACGTCCTTTTCAGGACGACCAATTTATACAAAAGAGATGACTTTTTTCCTACGTAAACATTCTAAATAATATGTATATAATAAGAATAAATAAAGGGAAAATTTACAGATGGTAGACGCTGAGAAAAGTACAGTCATCGCCATTCATTTAGTCATTTAGTGTTTCTGTTCCATATTCCAAAGGTTTCAAATATGTTGAGCTGAAATATTGCTAATATTGCTGATATGTAAACTATAAATTTGGCAATGTACCCTTGAAATACACGCGAGTTTTCACCGCAGCTTAGCTAAGATTTCTGTAACATCGAATTCTTATTCGAATATGAAATATGCACAATACTTCTTTTTGATAGCTTCAAATTTTTCATAAATGTCGAAACCAAATGGTTTAACTAGACGGAATTAATTCAATTTCTCGATCATTTCGTAGCCAATACTGAACATCAGCTAAATATATGCCCAATACCGATTTGGTTTGCGAAAAATGTATATTGAATTTTATATTTTCAAGCTCTTTTAGGGAAACATGTTGGTGGTCCTGAAAAGGACCGATTGGTGCGAGTGTAAGTTGCTTTTTATACTTTCTTCTTTCCTAACCGCCAAAGCCGTACAGTGTGCGACCTTGCCTTTTCAGCGCATAGACAACATCCATGGCTGTGACTGTCTTCCTCTTGGCGTGTTCGGTGTATGTGACAGCATCACGAATAACATTTTCCAAAAAGACCTTAAGAACGCCACGAGTTTCTTCATAGATAAGTCCAGAGATTCGCTTCACGCCACCACGACGAGCTAAACGACGGATAGCTGGCTTCGTGATACCCTGGATATTATCACGCAACACTTTGCGATGACGCTTTGCACCTCCTTTACCCAAGCCTTTGCCACCTTTACCACGACCAGTCATTTTTCACTTTTTACTTTTTAATGAACACTTCACGAATGTCAGAAACAAACTAATGTCTGCATCGTTACATCCACTTCTATTTATACCGAGAAACCCGAAAACACGAGGGAGCACACAAATGCTTGCATCCCTCTCACACACTACCCTCTCAACTTGTAGAGTAGAGCGCATAGCATTTAACATGAGTAACGAATATGTCTATCTCTTTCTAACTCACCACCAGTTTTCTATATAAGCGATGCGTAAGCGAGCATCTCGATTATTGTGTTTTTAACAGTGACAGTGTAAAGTAAGAATTGTGAAAGAGAGAAAAAAATGGCTCGTACAAAGCAGACCGCTCGCAAATCAACTGGAGGCAAGGCTCCTCGCAAGCAGTTGGCCACTAAGGCAGCACGTAAAAGTGCACCAGCTACTGGCGGTGTCAAGAAACCTCATCGCTATCGCCCTGGCACTGTTGCTCTGCGTGAAATTCGTCGCTACCAGAAGAGCACTGAATTGCTTATTCGCAAGTTGCCGTTCCAGCGTCTAGTGCGTGAAATCGCTCAAGACTTCAAGACTGACCTTCGTTTCCAGAGCTCAGCTGTGATGGCACTCCAGGAAGCTAGCGAAGCCTATTTGGTTGGCCTATTCGAAGATACAAACTTGTGTGCCATCCATGCTAAGCGTGTCACAATCATGCCCAAGGACATTCAACTGGCCAGACGTATTCGC